CAATCATGCCCTCACAATCTCAAAATGAAGGAGAAAATATTAATTAGTATTTCTATCAAAGAGAAAGAGTTTAATGAAAAATTTAGAATTTTTAGGCAGTCTCTAGCTGTATAGGGTAAAGGCATCACCAAACAGCTGTTTACATTTTGACGGAAATAGGAAGGAAAAAAAAACTACACAAAGGTGAAAAGACTTCCTTTTAAAGACATCCTTTAAATATGGAATCTTGAGAACTTGCATCAACATCTCTGATCAGGTGCAACTAAACATGAATGTGTTATCAGTTAAAATATATAAATAGTCCCCACTTGCAATGCCCAGAATGCAACTGGCTATTTGTTAATCCAGTACTTCTCAAGGTGGGGTTCTCAGAAAAGCAGTATCATCACCTGAGAACTTGTTAGATAGCAATGTATTGGATCCCTCCCCAGGTCCACTGAATCAGAAATACTGGGGATGGAAATCAGCAATCTGTATTTTAAAATGTCTTGAAAGTTTGAGAATAACCCCTTTAATCTTTCTAGCAAAGGTTATATAAAGAAATTTATTATGGAGGTATGTGATTGAAAAATTATTATCTTTGTGTCTTCCAAAATTAGTGCCCATTTAGAGAATTCTATTCTTATTTGATGGGAATTTACCATTTGTTGAATCAGTCATTTCTTTTCTTTTTATAATGGCATAGAAGTACCTGAGTATTCTTACAAGCAGCATTAATTGTTTTGCATAAAGACTATACACAACTATCTATTAAAGAATGAACTTATTCAAAATTCACCACTACAGGGTAAAAGCTATACCTATACAGGTATCATCAAATAGGGCGAAGTCACATTATACCATCATTACATGAAAACTGGAAATGATCAAAATTATCCCATCTCCTCAAGGAACTCCCTTTCAGGTCTTGTTGCTCTCTGAACAAAAGGCCCAGTGGGATCCCCTAATGAACTATTTCTTTCACCTCCCTCTTTCCCTAACCCCTGGAGAGTCATGGCTATACCCAGAGTTCTTAGATGACAAAATCATAGAATTAAAATTTCCCCTTATATAATGCGATAGCCTTGGTCCAGTGTCACAAGAAACCTTATATGTTGTGTACCAAGAAAAAAGTCAGGAGGAGAGCCAGGGCGGACAGGGAACCCCTTCCCAAAGGCTAACATCAGTTCAACAATAATAATAACAATAAAAATAAATGCTGCTCCATGAAACATGAGATAGGCAGATTCAAACTATAATTTCCCCCAAATAAGGCTCTGGTTACAAGAAGAAAGGAGGCTGGTTGAAAGAATGTACTAGAACATTTCCAGGTAAGTTCTGATATAAATCATTAAAACTACCTGTACTTCCCCTTCTTTCTATAAGATTATCTTTCCTAAATGAATTCTATATATAGCCCCCACAAATTCTATTTCCCTGGAACTTATATGCTGGCTACCCAGCAACTTCTGCCCCAGATACCTACAAGTATTGACTTGCTTCTTAAAGTTAAGCAAGTTTACAGAGGATGTAGGGGGTGAGGAAGTAAAAGATTTCACAAATCATTATTTTAAATAATACAGAAATACTGTCATATATTAAAAAGTGGAATTTTTTACAAACTCTGGCTAATAGTGAATACTTAATAACCCTAAACGAGAGAAATTGAGTAAAAAAGGAAACTTAGCTTTCGTGCTATGTAATAGAACACAGATAGATATGGGCAGAGCCATGATGTGGACAAAAGCAGAGAAGTTAGGATAAGATTGAATTAAATGTAGATAATTCTTAAGTTTTTCAAGAAAAGAATGTGAAAAGCATTTAGGCAAAAAAAATCTCTCAGTCATGGGTTCACTTCTGACCTTGTCTCTAGAACTCTGTGCACTTGACAGCAAGGTCACAGTGATTTTCTCACAATTCCTTAAATATACATAAGTTTTCAAAGTATCAGAAGGTTTTAAACTCTGGTATTTCTCATATGCAGCCAGGACTGTGAACCACTTTTTGACTCAATGAAGTATAATGATATAAATTGGTGGCGGGGGAATGACAATTTCAGATCACATGTGGTTTATGGTGATAAAAATAGAAGTTTAAAATATATATACTTTCACAGACTCAAATAAAAGTAGGGAGTGAGTCACATGAAGTTGTGTGGAGAGATGATGCAGCAAGGATAAATATCTCGAGGCAACTTACTATGCTTAAAGAAGAGCAAAAAAGCCAAGCACAGAGTGAGCAAGAAGGGAGAGTGGTAAAGTTGAATTCAAAGATGTGATCTGAAGTCAAATCATTCCCTATATAGATAGCATCAGTATTCATGATCAGAGTTCATCAGAGTGCTTTGTGCATCATGGCAGACCATTGACTTTATTCCTTAAATAGTAAGAAACTATAGCAATCGTAATGTCATTATATTTATATTTTTGAAGAGAATAGGGCCGTTCAAGGGCAATAAGCCATGTGTAAGCAAAAGAGAAACAGAAAGGTCAGTGAGATTACTTCAGTAGTCCAGGTGAAAACTAAAGGTGTCTTGAGTAGAATGGGAAGTGTAAAAGAGAACAGTGGGAAGCCCCACTATAAGAAGAAAAACCATTTATGCAGGAGAGAGGGGTATAATTGCAGAAAAAGTTTTGTGTAAGGAAAAGGAAATGTGATTCAGTTCAGAAGCAGATAAGTAAACTTGAAATAAAAATAAGGCAGGTTATCCTTTTTAATGGGAACGCATAGTATATGGCTACCAATGTAGTCAGTGGTATTTTAGTGATGGAGTAATTCTAAAACATATCTTTGGGTTTCTTCTGGTTTTTTTTCCTGAACATATTTTTTATTTTTACCCTGTATTTTCATTCTTGACACTATTACAGATGTCCCCATTTCCCCTTCCCTCTGGCCATCCCCACACTGTTCTCCATGTCTATGAGTTATATATATGTTCTTTAGCTAATCCCTCACATTCTTTCATCCAGTCTTCCCCATCCTCTCTGAAATGAATTCTTAATTTTTAATTTGGAATAATATAAAATGTTATTTTATGTTTGACTTGCCAATAATCATCTTTCCACATACACTGTTGTATATATTTCAAAAAAGAAGTTGCTTATCCTCTACACATTTATTAGAAATTTGTTTTATGAAAGGAAAAGTGACTAACAATGAAGGTTTGAATGATGTTTTTATTAATTTTAGGGTAATTTCAATAGAATTTTTTGGGTTGCCTAATCTATTAATAAAGGAGAAATGCAATAAAAAGATTTTTCCTTCTGTCACCTGGATTTAAGTTAAATGTGTGCTTTATCCATTAAAAGCACAATTTTCAATTGCCAATTTCCATTTACTCTAAACATGTTTTTCCAGGATTACTATTTTCTCATTACATTTTGTGAAAACGGGACTCTATATTTCCTCACAAAGATAAAGTTTTCTCCATAAATTCTTCCCTTTTCCAATGCACTGAAGTTATACTTTATGTTGGGAGGGAAGAGAATACTTATTGTCTATGCTTCTTTTTTTTTCATTCAAAAGTCCTTTTAATTATTTATATGTATATTTTATATTGTTGTTCAGTTATAGTTATCCTGCCTTTTTCCCCATTACTTTTCCCTGCCCTGTCCCCTCCCACTCCCACAGTCAATCCCTCCACATTGTCTGTGCCCATGAGTCCTCTATTCTTGTTCTTTGGCTTGTCCCTTCCTCTTCTTAACCCCCTCCTCTAACCCCTGTTATCCTCCTCCCCATGGCCCTCTGATCACTGTCAGCTTGTTCTTTATTTCCATGTCTCTGGTTCTATTTTTCTCATTTGTTTTTTTTTTAATGAAAAAGAAAGATAGATCACCTTCTGATTTTGAGGAGGGAGGTGAGCTTGTTAGGAGATGAAGAAAGATAAGAGCATGTCTAACAGGATAATGTATGAACAGAAATGTTATGTGTTATGTTTGCCTGGCTATGATGAGAACTCATCTAATGACTCTGGTAAAACTAGAATCAATGATGATGTTGTATGTTTCCTGGAAGTCATGTTTAGCTGCTCTTGTATGGATTTAAAGTAGACAGATTTGGGTTTAACGGGATTGGTTTCTTTACTATATAAGTACAATTAAGGGAAAGAGGATCGCAGAAGTGGAGTATAAACACAAGAAAGAGATTGTAATGATGGAACATGCTTTCTGTCCTGCTGAGGAAATAAGATGTAATAGGAAAGATGGTGTTAGTGAATATATTACTGGAAAGAGAAAGAAATCTGCTTAATTCATGATAAGACCTGAAGAATAAACCAGTACTCTTAGGTAGCTCAGTGGACTAATTTAAGGTTAATATTTTATGACTAAACAAAATTCAATCTACACATGAGGTCCAGTTATTGTAGAGAAAGGTGAACAGGGCATGTAAAAACCCTCAAAGTACTGATCAAATGCATAAGTATTTAGCTTGAGAGGTAGTGAGAGGCACCCACTCAATTAATGGTGTCATTATTTGGACAATAATTCTTTTATACTTTGTCCAGAATGGATAGAAATGGGATTATGACCAGAGTAGATCCCTGAAAAAGGGACAACCTATAAAAAACAAAAGAAACTCAAAAAATATTGCTTTTTAACTTCTCAGCACTCTTGCAACAGGGATAAGGAAGCTTATTTCCTCTTTATCTAGAAAGCTTTCCAGTGAGAAGATCCTGGTTCTTCCATCCTTGAGTCAATAATAAAAATTATTTTATACTAATATTACTCAAAACTCTAGAAAAATTTAAATTTAGAATTGTTGAACTGTGAGGGGGGAGAGTAAACATTCCATTCACAAAGAAGAAAACTGAGTGTCATTTTAAAAAATGATTATGAAAATAATATAGGTGCTTTGAGATAGACCTAAAGCTTGATTGCAAACTCCATGATCCCAAAGAGGTGTTCTCTCCCTCACTGAGCCCCATTTTAGCAACTCATTAAAAACCAAACTTACAAAACTACCCACTACCTGTATCTCATTGGCAGGTGTCTAAACTTTAACAACCACCAACAGCTTCTACTATGCTCATCTTCAATCATTCCAGCATCCTGACCTTTACTTTGATCGGCATTCCAGGCTTAGAGTCACAGCACTTGTGGCTATCTCTTCCTTTCTCCTTCATGTTTTTGGCTATCCTCATTGGCAATGGTGCTATTCTCATCTTGGTGGCCACAGAACCCACACTTCATACACCAATGTACCTGCTCCTGGCCCTGCTGATGGTGGCTGACCTCATATCTACTCTGGCTCTGTTGCCCAAGCTCCTCTGCCTCTTCTGGTTCAATGACCAGGATATAGCTTTCAATGCTTGTTTCATCCAGATGTTTTTCATCCATGGAGCATCTGTGGTACGATCAGCTCTACTCGTTGCAATGGCTTTTGACCGCTTCGTGGCTGTGTGTAAACCATTGCACTACAACACAATTCTGAGCCATTCCTTAGTTGGACGCCTGGGACTGGTAGCTCTAGCCAAGGGTGTGATTCTTGTCCTGCCTATGCCTCTTCTGCTTCAGAGGTTGACGTTCTGCCACATGGTAATTCCCCACACTTACTGTGACCACATGGCTGTAGTAAAAATGGCCTGTGACCACACCAGACCTAATCGTATCTATGGGCTCTTTGTGATTCTGCTCGTGATAGGACTTGATTTGCTGCTTATTGGCTTCTCATATGGTCTCATCCTACAGGCTGTGGTACGCCTAGAGTCTCGAAATGCCATCTTCAAAGCTCTCAACACATGTTCAGCCCACCTCTTTGTCATCATTGTCACTTATGTGCCTGCACTGTTTTCCTCCTTCACCCACCGAATTGGTCTCAATATCCCACCTGAAACCCACATTCTCCTTGCCAATCTCTACCTTCTTCTACCTTCAATGCTCAACCCCATCATCTATGGTATCAAAATGAAGAAAATACAAGACAAGGTGGCTAAATGCCTGTGCAAAAAACCTGCATAGACCATGGGTGCACACAACAAACTTGAGAGTAATAAAACCTTTGAGCCTTTGCCCAACTATTCAAGATCCAGCTGTATCTCCAAATGAGTTATGAAAGAATAGATCATGGAGGTATATGTGTGTTGGCCCTCATGAAGACCCAGTATATTTGTTTTTCCTAATTTATCTATGAAGTAAAAAAGGAAGAGGCTAAGAAAGCTCTTTCTATGACTTTTGACAGCAATCATGATATGGGCCTCCTAATAACTTTCACTTCTGTGTGCATGTTTATTAACTACACACAAAATTTCTCTGTATATGATCCAAGATTATCTTTCCTTGGCTTGATGGAAAGTTTATACTTGCTTTAGTTTTCTCTATTCTATTTCTCTAAGTCTCTGCGTCTAAGTAGTGTCTTATTCCTGAAAGGAATCTGACATACTCATTTCTTTGGATACCACCTTAACATATAATAACTTTTTAAGAAACTGGCCTTTTCACCAATAATTTTTAATGTAATGGCAATGCAGCATGTTCACAATACCAATCAGATGATTGTGATGATGTGGATGCTTATGACAAAAGTGAAGGAAATTAAAGATGGCATAAATAGACTCAGGAACTGTTTAGATACATATAACAGAAAGTTTCATTGCAAAGAAAAATATCTGTCCAGATAACTAATTTAAGAGACTCTAATGATCAGAATTTTCATCTTAAAAAAGCATATGTTATGACAGTGATCAGAAGGGAGAAGGGAGGGGATAAAAGGGAAAAAGGGTGAGGGGTTTACAGGAACAATTATAAAGGACATATGGACAATAACAAGGGAGATGAAAATGGAGGAGGGAGGTGGGGAGGGCTGAGGTGGTTGGCAGGGGTGGGGGAAAGGCAGAAAACTGTACTTGAAAAACAATTTTAAAAATTGTAATAATTTTTAAAAAGCATATGTTATAAGAAAGATATTTGTTCCTGAATTAATATTCTAGGATGACTCAAGTCATATGTAAAGCACTTCCATATTGAAATGCTTTTAAATCACTGTAGTAAATGAAATTCCTATCTAATCATTTAAATACATAGTTATCATAGGATCAGTTGCACAATGTAATAAGACAAATACAAGACTGAATAGTTAGACAAAAAGGACCTCATTCCTAATAAAAGGTAAATAAAACAAAACCATTAAGTATAATAACTATTAAAAATGTTATAGTCTCACTTTTAGTGCAATTTAAACAATTGTGATATTGACTTCAAAGTCAAGAAAAAGAATCCTAAATTTATAAATACTCCTTAAATCTCTATCACTGTGCTTGAGAATCTTAAAAGTATAATCACTCTGAAAATAAGAGTAGTGTGTGTAATCTATTGCTAGTCAAGACTTCTAACCAGTTCTAGCCTATTTTCTACTCAGGTGGGCTAAACAGTCTATAAACCTTAAGAGCATTTTTTAATTCATATGACCTAGAGAACAGAGAACCCCCTGTACTAAATACATTTTTTCCTTTGTGTTTCATCTTGTCCTGCCTAGCCTTCAGAGTAGGAAAATGCCTACAGAACAGAAAAAATAAATCATATTATCTATTTCAGAGAAGAAAGAATCCACTCTTTTCTTGAGATTGTTCTGCTCTTAATCTCTCTTAGTAAAGAAATGTCCTAATTTATTCTTAACTATGAAAGTGGTTTTATAAAGGGTGCATTTGGGGAATGTTGGCCTGGGGGAAGGAAAAAGTGTAGAATCAGATAATTCATCTGTGGTGGCTCCTCTGTGCCTTTTTGTACTTTTAAGCCAGATTTCCCTTTGAAGGTGAGAGCATGCAGAGAGAATTTCTGATGAACACTGACTTTTGACTGTCATCATATGATATCAGCATGTCAGACTTTAGAGAGAAACTAATAAAATAAAAGTAATGAATATTCTACTGTCATCAAAATATAATCTCGGTGACAGAGAACACGTAGCATTAAACCTTGGATAATCAGATGATGACACTGGATAATAAAAAAACATAAGAAAAGTTCAAGGCTATAACTAATGTTGGGGTAGCTCTGTCTCAGGGGAGGAGTGAATAGGGAGACTCCTACATTATATTCTTCACATTCTATTAGTTCCAGCAGAAAGACCACCTGTTGAAGTTGATTTGTGCTAGTTATTCTAGGTATTTTTATATATAAGATCCCATGGAATCATTTCAATTTTAACTCAAGCTATGTATTAATATCCATTTTTCAGATAAAGTTACAAAGGCTCAATTTCTTTGTAATGTTTCTATAGTCACACAGGTAGCAAGTGGTTAAGCCTGAATTCAAATTATAATATTTCTGATTATAAAATATTTTTCCATTCTATTATGCTTATGTTGCCTCTCTATATACAACCAAGAATAAAGAAGTTGTACAGCAAAACTAAGTAGAACATTTAGTAGAAATGACTTAATCAAAAAAGCCAGGCAACTAGAGTGTGCCTATATCATCTTTAACACCAATAGCGAAATAAAGATGTCTCTAGGTTATGATATAAACAGTTACCACTATTTGGAGAACTGAAAATGTCTTCCTTTTCTAGTTATTATGTTTTTAGTGCCCCAACCCATTCCCATCTAATCTCCACTCTTCTGAGACACTTGTGCCCCCAGGAGTTGGTTTTGATAGAATGCATTGTCCAGTCTCTATTGAAATCTAACTTGTTTGCTTTGTCCGAGGGAGCTATGTCAGTCTGAGTCCCCAGAGAAAGAGATGTTGAGGAAAGATGAAACATAAGAATTTTATTGGTGGAAGTACGTGTGTGAATGAAACTAGGGAGACAGCGAAGGTAGGGTAGGAATACCATCAGACTACAGTCAAAGTTTGACCCTAAGTGAAAGAGGGAGAGAAGGTTGGGCGGAAGTGATCTAAATTTCCTGCAGCAAAATCATTGAGGAGTTTTTGAGCTAAAATCAACAGACTTTTATTTAAACTCTCTTTTGTGGGTCTGCAACTTGTATCTCTAAGGCCATTCTCATTCCTGCTTGGAAGTAGCCTCTGCTTGGAATGACCTTGGCAATTAGCAGGAGTTCTCAGGCAATTATAATTATGCTCCCTCTAGTGTAGCCTGTGAGCTATTTTCCGGCTGCCACAATCCAGCCTTTGTATAGCACAAATGTATTTCTCTAATGGGTTTAGGAAACAGCTGTACATTATTCTTAAAGGCCGTTTTTCTCCAAGGGAAGACTCAGGAGAAGGAGGTTAGTAGGCAGAATTCTAGCCATTGTCTGAGCAATTGACCTCAGGGCTGCAGCTAATATTTACCTAATATTCACCTTTAGAGTGGAGTCCTTCTCCACTCTCCACTCTAAATTTCCCTCCTATTTGCTATCACTAGGCCAGGTACTAAGGCTTACCTGGTTGTATAATCCTTAACTTAATCCTTAACTGGAATATAGTCATGTTCTTCTCAGTTTGGAATTACCCTGTATGTTCATTTATAATGGGACAAAAGAGTACCACCAGGTAGCCAAGCAAATCACCTAGTTTTACATATTTTATTCTGCTGACATTGTGTAAAAGCATCCCTATCTTCTCCTGTTGATTAGAGTACAAATGAAAGAAAGTTCACAAACTTCCAGCATTATACTGGCAAGAATCAAGGTGACAGACTGCTCAAATACAAACATTTGCTTCTATTCATGAAACATATGAATGACTAAGAGGGTATAACCACGAACCCAGAAAGAGCCCACAGAATAAAGCCAGGAGCTATGAAGGAATATTTATGTCTAGGATGTAAAGCCTAATTCAAGGAACTCCAGCTGTAGTTTGCCTGCTCCATTTGAGGCAGGTCATTACAGAGCAATGAAAAACTAATACATGTTCAGTCCCATTCCTAAATAAATTAATTATTGTTTATGTAATCTTATATTCTAACACCTTTGACCAAGCACACTCAAAATTCAACTCCAGAGATTGTTCCTGTCTTCTACCAACACATGCCAGTGAGGTCTTTGAATTATTTAGGGTTATGGTCTTTTTATTCTTGCTTGAATTTTAGAATGTACCTAGCTGTGTTATGCAGTGATTTAGCCCACTGTATCAGCCATACTTTCAGGAAAAGAAGAGAAAGAGGAGAAGTTATGTCATGGGATGGGGCAACTGTTGTCATTCAGGGCAGAGGCTTCTGTAGAGTGCCTTAGCACAGAAGTAGTCCTGGAACTTTGCAGGGAATCCCTGACTATTCAGAAGGTCCGAAGCAAATTTCTGAGTCATCTTCAGCAATATCAATCTGGATGTTAATGCTTTTGTCTCACTTTTCAAGTTTTCATGTTTTTCTACCAAGACCCTGATCTATACATGGAAAACCTGCCTTAGCTGAATGTTAGGATGTCCCTGGAGCCTTGAGACACTCACAGTTGGGTCTCCAGCCTGCCAGGCAATTACATCTTCCCTTCCAGTATAAGTGATGAAGATTTCTTTATATACTACCACCGCTAAGGCTCTCTAGTTCTCCCTTTCAGCTATCAAATGCTTATTATGGACTCTGTCATCCTATAGGTCATAAAAACAAATTCCCAGTAAGCAGTAAATTTCCATACTTTTAGTCACTGCTTCACCCATATTCTTCAAATGCCTGCCTAATTGCACTTGACATAAAATTTCCCAGTATTGGTAAAATACTTGGCAATTGAACCACTACCTCTTTCCAGGCATTTTCCTGCCCCATCTAATAATCACAAGAGCATTCTCTGCCTACCAGGCAGGAAGTGAACTAGTCCCAATTTCCTGTCTTGTCACTTGTATCACTCTCAGTGTCAACTTGTATTAGTGTGGGTCCTCTGCAAAGCAGATACCAAGATGGAATTTAACATGTACTATCTGTGTGAAAAAAAAAACAGACAATCTGTGTAGATTGAGAGAGCAGTAAAACCACAGTATAAGCCCCCCAAGTCAAGGAGAAAGAGAGAAAAGGCTGAGTGGAAGTATGTTAGATTGCCATGCAAAGACAAGATCAGCTGACCGAGGAGCCTGCCAACATGTTTTATATT